TTTGATCAAGAAATTTGCCTTTTAAGCACAATCAATGAAAGAATGATGCGACAACGATCAGATTATTTGATATATGAGATAAATGAATGAAGATCTGTAAGAACAAGTTTACAGATTCTGATATTAAAAAAAATTATTGAATCTATATCAATCAAAGTAAAAAAAATATCAGAAAAATCAAGATTTGAATACAAACGAGTGTATTATGACCGAAAATGATTTTTCGTATAAGAGACGTGATAATAACAGTTTGAAGAATAGTTGAAACAGGTATTGGAGTTATGTACGATGAGAACTTACACAAGTAAAATCTCAGGAAATACCTGTTCAGAAAATGTACTCGTTACCAAAAAAAATTATTTTCCGAAAAAAACATTTATTGAACTTTTTAGAGACTCCTCCTAGAAAGCATATTATAGAAATGATTCGATTCAGCTCAAAAAATTATAAACAAATAAGAAAAACATGTTTAGCACAGGTCCTAAACTGTGTGTTTAGAAACCACACTCGGTAACGCACGAGTTCTGAACTGAAGTATTCAGAAGCCTTGTTTGGAATAGATTACAACTCCCCCTACATTGGTGTATCATTAAAAAGATATTCTTATCAGCACAAAGTTGACACACCTGCAAAACCAGATTAAGTAGATTTTGGTACCCAAATGAATTTGGGTCCTATTTTGTTAGTATCGGGTTGGGGTATATTGTAACTTCCAAACCATCTATTCTTATTAGATATTTTCTTTTTAGCACTTTGAACAAGATGATCAGAAATAAAATATGACCCATACCAGTTATTGTGATCATACATGTTCTTACCTTTCCAACTGTTCTGATAGTTGTTATCTCCATGCCACCTGTTGAACCTTTTCTTATTGAAAAAATCATCGGTTCTGGATGTTGAGCACATAATTCTTCTCTTGCTAAGATTGATCAGATCATTAGTGGATCTCACAATGCAAGGAAGAACAGAGTTAGTAACAACAGGTGTATGAGATAAAACAGAATCAGCTTTATTAACCATAATGCTTTTAGGTTTAGAATGATAATTGAGTGATCCAATGACATACCCTTGATAATACTGATTTGAAGAATGAGAATTGTTCTTAGAAACAGTTGATTTAGGACTGCTATAATAACTGTTAGATTTAACACTAGAACAGTCATAAAAGCAAGTTTTACACAGTGATTGAGAACCAGTTGGGCTTTTAGCACATGAAAAGTCTTGTACTTTCTTTAATAACTAGTCTCTTTCATCAGCAACTAAATCATATTTCTTTTTCAGTTCAGTTCTCATGTTCAATTCAATTACAAGTTCTATCTCTAGATCAGACAATTTCTTTGCAGTATCCAAAAACTTACCTTCTAATTCTTTCTTTAACTTTTCAAATACTTTCCTTTCTTTCTCAAACTTCTTTCTTTCTTTCTTCATCTGAACTTCCTCTATCATTCTCCGAAGCAATGTCAAGCCATTTCTTTTTCTTAGTAAGCTCTTTGGCAATTGCAGCATGTTTCTTGACAGTACTTTTCTTCTCAAGAACAAACAACATTTTTTCTTCATCTAGAGCTTTTTGCTGTTGTTCAACCTCTTTCTTTTCTTTATCAACCTTGGCTCATTCCAAGATGATAAGTTGTTCAAAATCTGAAATTTGATTCAAAAGAAATTTAGCATTCAGCTCAAGAGAATTAATCTTATTTTCATAAGATATACGTTCAGTTTCAAATATTCTTTCAACTTCTATTATCTTATTCTTCTCTTTCTCCAAAACTTTCCTTTCAGCATTCAAATCCTTTTCCACTTCTAAAACATTTTCTTTCTCTAAATTCTGTAGCTTTCTTAGTTCAATCAGATCACTTTCAGACTTATGAGATTTATCCAGTTAAGTCATCAGTTTCATTATGCTTTCTACCTGAAGAATTTCTTCAGCTCTTAACTCATTCTAAACTTCTTGGAGTTTGTTGAAAAGATCTTTATTAGTTTCACTCCATATTTTCAATTTATTATGTATGTATAACGTCTATGAAATAATTTACCGTTTAAAATAGGGGTCAAAGTACAATTTAATTTCTCCATACATATATTATTATTATTACTAACGTTATCAAATGAAATGTTAATTATTTTAGCAGATATATTAAAAAGTGCAAGATTTTTTTAATAATTGAAAATTAGCGTGCACCAAACTGTTCAAACGCGATTAGACATTTGAATAATTGCCACGATTGCGGCTCAATCCTATGTGTCATTATGCATATATAAGAAATAGGCAATCCGTGTGGTGCCCTCCATACATCATACATTAAATAAATGTGGTTAGGAAAAACAGAAAATATTTATTGCATTTCATTTCGACACATTTTCCACATTTTAATTGAATCACGTCTAAGAGTTTGATGACTTACCGGCTTGTATGGTAGTTGTAGTGTTTTTTAAATCAACTTCGTAATGTGAGAGGTTGTTGAAATATCTAAACGGCAACCCAACTTGAATGACACATTGTGTTATCATTTGTCAGTTCAACTCAGTATCAAACGTTCATATTTGACCTTGATTGTCAAGTATAGGTTGGCTTGAATCGCCCCCGACCTAAATCTTGGGCACGTATTTTCAGTGTGCCACTTTAGAGTTGAATTTCCTTCCGCCATAAAGAGAGTTTGGCACATTTTACATTGTACCTTTTTTCCAGTTCATGAGGATCACTATATTGTATACATTCCAAATCTTGGACTTTCGTTATTGTTCGGTAAGAACTTTGGCAACTTGTTCGTTTGATGTGTCAATGTTGTTCACAAAATATAGCAAAAATTGTGAACGTCCTTTTTTGTGTTTTTTGTGTTTTGTAAGTTGATATCTTACCCTATACACCATAACACTTATATATAGTGTTTAGTGTCCAAATTGACCATAAAAAGGGTCAAAAATCGAAAAAAAAAGGTCATAACCGTTGGTCAACGGATACCTAACTGCTATATTTTTGAAATTTCCGAGCCAGGCCTGGCCCATAATCGGTCCCGGTCCAGGCCGGTCCCTCGAATCCTCCAAAAACATCAACCGGTCCCGAACCATGGTCCCATAACCGGTCCATACCGGCCACGGGCCGGGCCGGTTCCAAATGGCCATCTATACTTTCTACAAACAATCGGGCCCAAGAAACAAAGTGAAGATTTTAACCACCAAAATTATAACATGTAAGAGTCACTCGAGTCGTCCATCTAATATGAGATAAAACTGGTTTAGTTTTGATATGAAACGGTGAAAAGAAAAAAAAAATCTTTGCTAAGAACCGGGAAAGCTTACACCTTCTTGTGGCCATCTTAGCTTAGTTGCTGGGCATTAATTGCCTTCCTATTCAACCCATTGTTCGTATCACGTATCCACCAAACACCCAATAGCACGTATTGAAAATCAAACACCATACATACATTCAAGGAACATAAAGTTAGACAGCCTACTACACATCCAATTTCTTTTAAGCATTCCACCAAACATCAAACAGGTAGTAGACAAAGACCATATGATATTTTACAACTACATAGAGGCGACTGCATACACAAATACAACGGCATTTTGGTAACGGTTAGATGGCGGTAGATAAAAGAAAAAACGGACAGAAAAAAAAAAGTTGCAATAAAAGAAGGCATCTCAATCATCAACAACCGCTCCTGTTTCAGCCATACCCAGTTCTTGACTGGACTAGTCCCTTGGTCCCGGTTAAGGATGCCCATCGTTACCGGCTATAGATGCTAGACTAGATATGTAGCTTGGGCCCAAAAGCTCTATTCGGTATTATCAAACATTACTTTGCTTAAAATAGCTGTAAAACTGGTATATTTCCATATCAAACACCTAGCAGATCATGAGGCAACAACATTATAGTGAACTTACAGCAATTTCGTATCAATATCTCAAGTCTGATATGGATTTGGACTAACCAGTACCAAGTGAATCTTTTGAAGCTCACCATCAAACAAGAAATGTGTATTTTGCTCATCTAAAATAAGCATTTCAAATTTGAATCCAAAATACTTGAGGAACAGAGACTGGATAGCATACCAGCAAAGACTGAACCATCCAAGAGCATTAAAACAGAGGATCAAGTGCTCTAGTTATTCACCATATGAACTCAAGAAATGAACTTGGGTACCTGATAAAAGATCGCTGCTAGTCAAGATTAATTGATCAGGAGAGGTGTTTTGTACAAAAGCCATAAAAAAAGAGTCCTGATGCAATCAGAGCGTTCGCTGGATGATCAATGGTTCATGGTGTATGTGTGTGTTTATTGACAGCCACCTGATGTATCTTGTTCAAGAACTAAAAAAGAAAAGAAAAAACATAACTTTCTATGTGATTCAGACCTGCAATTCGATGATTAATTCAAGATTAACCAAAGAAACAATTACGACAAAGAATCTTCTCCGAATCTGATCAAACATTACCTCCCTAAAAATACTAATGGTATATTAGTAGGTCCAAGGTGCTTTAGATGAAGAAAAAATATGGGTAAGATTGAATAAAATAGGAGTCGCAAGGTACAAGTGATACCTAATATTTATCAACATGGAAGCACCAAAATGTACAATCATATCATGAGCAAAATCATCTTGATCATTCAAGCAGATTTGATAGAATCCAAGATTCCATGAATATGATATCTATGGAAAAGATGTCATGAATCATACGGCTGTTGACAACAAACAGTCTTGCATTCATTCAATCAAAAAGTTGCTGGTCAGTCTATTTGATTTGGGAATCTGATGAAACATTCCCTCCATAAAAATATATACAATGCACCTTATAGAAAGAAAAATCTGGCTAAGATGGAAGAAAATAGGAGTTGAGAGGTGATCATATTGTACTATACCTAATGTTTGATCAAGATTCAAGCTGCTAGGAGATTCATACATTTGAATGAACAAACTACAAACAGATGAGTTTCAAGAATGAAATAAAGTACCAATCCTATGAATATGGAAAACAATTCAGAGCATATCATGAAGTTAGCCTGCAAGTGAGCCATGAACACCCACATAATTCTAAAACAAGAATGCATTAAAAGTAACCAGTACTTGTTTAAACCTACAATTTGAAGCAATGACATGTATTATAGCATAGTTAAGCTTATCAACCATGGATAGCTATTAGATACAACTCAAAAAACTATAACCAACCGATTTCATTGCTTCACCAAGTTGAAGGCAAGTAAGCATGAACAGCATACCCAGTCTTCCAGTTATCCAAATACACAACTTTTCTCACAGCCCATACTGAAATAATCATGGCAACAATCATGATCGTCCTCTGAGCCATCGAATTCTTTACCCTAACTAAAACATGAGTAACAAAAGCCAACAACAGCCCCACAATCGTGTACAGGAACCCGATAGCGAAACCCTCAGCACCCAACTGCATTCCAGACCCCTGGTAAAAGAAGATCATCTTGCTTGGATCATTTCTATCGGATATAAACATCGGCATTTTGCGGATTATGTTATGCATAGTGCCCGATACACTAAAGAAGTAAACAAACACAGACCCAGAAAGCCACAACCTCTTATCATGTAAAAGTGTTTCACCAGCTAGTAGTTTTTTAAACATGAATGGTAATGATATCAAGAACACAACAATTAAGAACCCTAGTTGGGTTTTCGAAAGAATTGGGGGACGGTGGATTTCACCCATTGTAAGTTTAGTTCTCGACTCGATAAATTCCGCCATGGACTCGGCTAAACGTGAGAAGTCTCCCGCGTCCATGGAGATCGAGTCGGATTTCAAGCTGGAAGCATCAGGTGGAAGGAGGCGGATGTGGGGTAACGCATTTACACCAAATTGGGCAAAAGATGATTGCGATTCACCGAATTCAATATCGCAGAAGAAGAGTTTCGAAAGCGCTGATTGAGAATCTTGATTGTTGATGCCGAAGGATTTGGAGAGAAGGAAGAACTCAGATTTGAGTGATTTGAGGTGGAGTTCGGATTTGTCATGGAGTTGGATGGCGTCAAAGAACAGGATCAAAGAGAAAGATCGGGGTTTCGTAGTGATGATACGGCGAAGGAGGTTGTCGTTGAGGTGGACGACGCCGGAGGAGGAGCGAGATCGGATGGATTGGAGCTCGGTAAGTAGATCTGCATCGGCGTTGTCGGCGCCGGCAAACAATGATGGTCTGGATTGAGAGAGAAGTGTGATTGTTAGTAACAGGAAAAGGGTCGGAGCCGATCTCGGTGAAATCGCCATTCCTAGATCTACTGAGCTGTTGTAGGTTTTATCTTTCAAGATTGGTGAAGAGAAGAAGACGAGTACTACGGTTGACTTTGACCTCCATTGCATGCATCACTCCAGCCAATGAAACACTGCCATGTCAGCAACGAGCATATAGAACGAAATATTCCACATATTCAATGTTTTATTAGTAATTATATAATATTATATAGCAAAATTTATACACTCTTCATCGTTACTAAGATTCAAACTCTTAACTTCAAAAAAAGGTTGGATTATCATGATGGGATTCCACCATGCATTTGGATGATAAAAATTGGAATGAAATCTCTTAAAAGAATTAGAACAATCGTTTTTTTTGGACCACCCCATCCACCCCACCTACACCCTACCAACCAGCATGTCAAATATTGTCATTGTCACAGCTACCACTCCTCTCTGTCTCGCCCACCCATCCATCCATGCCCTGCCCCACCCCTACCACCTCATAGACCCTAACAAAACCCCTGTCACCACCACCCTCGCACACCCTACCCAAACCCTACTCGACGGGTGGGGGTGTGTGGGGTGGGACTAGGCTGGGGTGGGTTGGGGCAGGCAATGGGGCACAATGGTAGCTGTCACAACAAAAATAGTGGGGTGGTGGTCGGGGTAGCTGTGGAGTGGATGGGTATGGTAGTGACAGTAGTGGCATGGTGGTTAGTGGTGGGTGGGTGGGGGTGAGTGGTGATTGTGACTGTGAAAGTAGTGGTGTAGTGGTGTAGTGGTGGGGAGTTAGGTTAGGGGTGAAGGTTAGGTTAGGGGAGGAGCGTGGGGTGGTAGATACGACGACGACATTGGTGGGATGGTGGTTGGGTGGCTGAGAGTGGTTGGGTAATGACGGTGACAGAAGTGGTGTGGTGGTGGGGGGTTAGCTTAGGGGCGTGAGAGTAATAGTAGTAGCATGGTCATAGTTGAGATGTACGGTGAGTGACTAAGGGGGTAGGTGGGTGTGATGGAAACAATAGTAGAATGGTGGTTAGTGGTGGGTTGGGTAGTAGTAGTGTGGCAGTGGGGGGGGGGGGGGGGGGGGTTAAGGGGCATGACAAACAGTAGTAGCATGGTCGTGGTGGGGCCAAGGGATGAGCGGTGATGAAATTCAATTCCTTCAACTATGCTAACGAATGATGAATTCATTAATTTGTGAAATTCAATGGAATTTGAAGAATTCCATCCATTTCAAGAAGTGAACCAAACAAATGAATTAGAATTTGATCAAAGGAATTTGTCATCCCAATTCCATCAAATTCCTTCGAATTTCACGAACGAAACGTCCCCTAAGGGTTTTAGGATTGGGTATCTAAGGAAATGGATTGGGACAAAATGTAGAGAAAATGTGAAGTAGAGTAGCTCACACCGTTAGAGCAATGGCTAGGGACCATAAGAAGTATTGATGGTGGAAAGAATAAGTACAATTGAAGGTTAAGGTCAAACAAACACTTTTGAAGGACCTGATGATATGTCGAAATGTTGGTGAAAGAGTAGGTTGAAGGAACTATACATGGAAGCAAAACGAGAGGAGAAAAAAGTGGCGACTATGGCAAATATAAAAACTTATGAGAAGATGTATAGGAGGTTAGATGCCAGGGAATGAGATATTGGAATATAAATGCGGACAAAAGTTAGGGAGCGGAGACGTCATAAGAGTTAGGAAACATAAGGTGTATTAACGATATATATGGATACTAGTAAAAGATGAAGACATTAAGGGGAGACGCGCTACTTACTTTCGTACACTATTTAACGAGGCAATAGAAATGGAGGGGACCGAGACATAGGAGGAGTAGGGGGATAATAAAGGTCACATAATCTTTCTTTTTATCATCAAATTAGCAAAGTGGGAATAGATGGCATTGAAAAAATAGTGAAATGTGAACTTGTAGACTTGTCCCATACATTGAAGGGTTGTTTGGTTCAAGCAAAGAAATGAAATGTGAATGAAAATATGAACAAAGTTTTATTTTCCCCAATTTGACCTAGGATGAAATTTTGGTTTTCTAGGGGAATGAGCTCATTATATTACACAAGGGTAAATTAGATGAAAAAGTAGTGTACTTTGTCTTGATCCCTATTTTGGATAACGTATTGTAACATACTCTTTTTTAAATATGCTTGGCAAATGCCTCTAAATGTGTTCTAATGTGTATTATGTGTTTAATAAGGAAGATTATGTGTTAATATAATGCTTTATTGAGAACTTGTAGCAAAATCCTTAAGAAATATAAAGGGTTTCATAGGTTGTTATAGAGCCAGCAACATCATCCTCTCGTTCAGAGTTAGCAACATCATCCTCTCGTTCAGAGTTAGAATAACTCTAAACTCAAGGTCTACAGACTTCGTCTTCAGATTTGACACCCAGCGCTCATCAGGTCTTCTCTTGAAATAACTCTAAAGAATGTCTCTTCAGACTTGTACTTGTACACCTTGAGATCACCCAAAATCTGAAGACTTATTTTCTAGAGATCTGAAGAATGTCTCTTCAGACTNACTTGTACACCTTGAGATCACCCAAAATCTGAAGACTTATTTTCTAGAGATCTGAAGAATGTCTCTTCAGACTTGTACTTGTACACCTTGAGATCGCCCAAAATCTGAAGACTTCTTTTCTAGAGATCTGAAGAATGTTTCTTCAAACTTGTACTTGTACGCCTTGAGATCGCCCAAACTCTGAAGACTTCTTTCCAGAGATCGGAAGAATGTCTCTTCAGACTTGTACTTGTACAACTTGAAATCACCCAACTTGTACTTCTTTCCAGAGATTTGAAGAATGTATCTTCAGACTTATACTTGTACGCCTTAAGATTGCCAAACTCTGAAGTCTTCTTTTCCAGAAATCTGAAGAATGTCTTTCAGAGTATAGTTCAACCAGAGGCTCTGGTTGTTCTTTCAGACTTAGACTTAGTCGATTTAGCACAATTCAGATCTCTGGACCTTCCATCCGTAGCCTAATTGTTTTAACTGAACTATCATAATATTTAGGACTATTTTAGTCCTAACACCTTTTCTGGAATATATTTGTTGAAAGTTATAAATTATCTTGTCACGAACATGTGGGAAAAAAGTTATGAGTTTTTAAGTGTTTGGTGGTCAAAATGGGTGCTAGGTCAATCCAGTCGGGTCAAACCCGACCCCAAATAAGTTTGTGCAATAAAGTGATAAAAATTAGATCTTTTCACATCGTTTTTACTTCTACAAGCTTCTAGACCAAAGTATGTGTGATTTCACACCTAAATCTAAAACCTAGCTAAATCTTAGAGAAATTGAAGAGAAATTTCAAAGATTTTGAAGATTTGAAAGTATAAATGTTGGTATTTTGATTTTCTTGATGTATTTAGATTCATGCAACTAGGGTTTAAGCTATAGAATGAATGGTGGAATTATTTTGTAGAAATATGATGACACTACTTGTTATTTGGCCAAAACATAGATTATTTTCAAGGATTAGTTGAAATAATGTTGCATTAAGAACACAAGTATGACTTTTCAAAGTCAAGCTCTGAAATGATGATTTTGATGAACAAGGCTTGAGTTTTGTTGTTTTTATAAAGTTTGTGATATTTTGAGATAGAAACCTGAATTTGGTTCCAAATGGGAATGGTTTGGATACAGGATTGTTAAAAATAGTCATTTTGAAACATAAAAGTCGATGTTTATGTCTTGTTTTAAAAAATTCGTATAAAATCAAAGAAAAATCCAATGAATATGAGGTCAGTGGAATCTGAAATATAAAAGTGTCTACTTTATTTCTTGTTTAGAAGTCAAGATGTAATTTTGAGTTTAAGATGGTCAAAATGTGTTAGAACAGGGAGTTGTACAAGGGAATTAGAATAGAATTAGCTAACTAAGGAATGGAATAGAATGAGAAAGTGTAATCATATACTTATGGAATTGAATGTGTATACTCCAAGGAGTACAAAGGTATAATTGGAAGCTTTTGGAGTGCCATACATACTTGGAATACAGAGTTGGAACGAGACATTCGGTTGGGCATTCAGTTGACCCATTTTATGCATTGTGAGTATATATGAAATAAATGTTTATGTGTACTTATATAAGTATGCATTTTCTATTTGTATTAGTTGTGTTTTTGTGATAACCGAGTCTTGGTTATCACCTGAGCTAATTAATACGTGATTATTTGTTATATGATTACGTGAAAGCATTATAAATTGTTATATTTGATCATGCAAGTATGTGAATTTTTATACATAAGTATCTATGCATAGTGTGATAACATGCATGATTAAATATACATGCATACAAATATTTTGGGTATGCATGGTTATTATATGAATGCATGGTTAATATATGTATGTATGCAAGCATGAGGCGGTCAAACCGCCTTTCCTAATGAGGAAAGGGGTATAAATAGGAAGAGAGACTTTCAAATAAAGTTTCTTGCCACTTTTGAACTTGAGAGTGAATTGAGAGAAGTGATTGTCCGGATTACTTATTTTGAAGATTGGATTCACCTGATTTCTAAGAAGAATCGCATAAGGTGAGTGGTTTTATCATCTTATTACATTTGAAAAGTAATTCTTTGGTTTGATTAAATGAATTGTTCTGTAAACTTATTACCCGGATTTGATTTTAAGTCGGAGACGTGTTGTCCGGATTTGTTATAAATCGGACATAGTGTTGTCCGGATTAGAGAAAAACCGGTCATAATATTGACCGGATTGGGTGTTAGAGAGATTTTGATATATGTAAATCAGACATGGTATTTGACCGGAGAAGTAGGGAATACGGTCAAGTGTTATCCGGATTTGATTTAATCCGACTGATATGTTGTCCGGTTTAGATATAATCCAGCCATAGTATTGGCCGGAGTTGTGCAAGTCCGATCGTGTGTTGACTGAATTTAAAAGTGTTGGAAAATGATTTTATTGTCCGGAGATATAAACCGGACAAGGTTTGTCCGGATTTGTAATCCGGCCAATATGATATGTTGACTTTGTTAAAGGTTTGACTGAATTTATGTGGGATGGA